AACCTTGAGTAAAATAGACCCTTTTTGCTTCAACAAGACGAAGGGCTCTTTCCATTTCTCAGTCTTCAAATAGTAGATTCCTTTCTTTGCATTCTCTTGCATTGATGTAGCGCCCACAGGAGATGTGAGTGGAGGAGGCAAGGAAGAGACCTGAGGAGAGAGGAGTGGAGGCAACAGGCAGAAATGAAAGCTTCTTCATCTATGTATTGTTTTGCTATACCGCTGTATTTCTGATCTCTCTAATAAATCATCTTTTCTCTCTTTGAAATGATTGTCTCATGTTCCTTGCTAAAAACAAAGACCAATTCAAACCGAATGTTTGGTTTAGGAACAATTAGGTTCAGCTCAATTCAAACTAATGCAATGTCTCCTTTGGGTCGGCTTATTGGAAGCTTCAGTGCATGCACGTCTCTTGTTATTCTGATTGCTTATCTTCACAGTTTATTGCAAGGTGCTTGGGATAAAAGCGTCAGCTAAGTTAAATGTAAAGTACTAAATATCCAGGTGCTAAGAAAGAAGAGAAAAGAGACAATGGAGCCAGGATGTAGAGGGGAGGGAGGAGAAATGAAATGAGATATGAAAATGAATCAGCTGCAGAAGAGGAGGAGGAGGTGAGGAGAACAGAGCATGAGCTACAATATAAAACTCTATATCATCATCATCATCATCATCAGCTTTATTTAAAGAGACTCTAGGTCCATTTTTAAAAGACATACAACACTCATATCAATGAAAAAAGGCAGTTATACCAATGTTTCCACAGAGGTGACTGGTATCGTACAGCACTGAGACACGGATTGGAAAGCAGCATAATGACAGAGTTATGAGAAACATTCAATCGACAGATGAATTTGTACATCAGATTTCTCAAGAGAGCATGGAACGTGTTGACTCGTGCTTTACAAAACATTTCACTGGCACTGCACCACCTTGGTTTTCTAAGCAGTATACGCAAACAATCATTACAAGCAACCTGGAGCTCCTGGAGGCTCGCCTTCTTGAGCCACAAGGGGGCAGTATACAGAGGAGTACAATAAGCTCTAAAGAGGTTCACCTTATCTGAACACCAAGAGAATGTTCTAGCCAACATGTTAGCTTGTGTATATAAGACACGCCGCTGTCTATACATGTCATCATCATCAGCCATTTCATCTGTGATGATGTGTCCCAGATACTTAGTGTCACAGCAAACAGACAGCACCTGCCCTGACTGATAGCATATTGGAAAACCAAGGTTCTTATCCCCTTTTGCTCTGCAGATCATTACAGCGCTCTTATATATAAACACATACACTGCTATAACTCTCAAAGTGCATTTACATTTAAGTAGTTCTCAATGCTTTCTATTTGAACAATTCAACTTGGATAAAAGACTCAAATTCACTTAAACAGAATGATGCTTTTTACTTTCTTATTACTTAACGCTGAGTTAGAAAAGAACCTTTGCTAGTAGTTGTCTCACTGTATATGTGATTATCTTTAAAATGTGTATATAAATGAGTCTGATGCAGATATTGATGTCCTACCTTTGATTAAATGCAGGGGGGAGGTATGTGATGATTTCTGAAGTGAATGCATTATAAGTACTTCTGAATAACTTCTAAAGCAAATGGATCAGGACTAAAAAGAGTCTTCCTGTTCTCTAACATGAATTGTGTTTTGTGTATTGATTAAGAATGAGGATCCCACCAACCTCCAAGATACATCTTCTCTCTATACTCGACAGGTTTGAATACCCAGTGATACACAGTTATGTATTTCTCTGTGTAAAGGGATCGTTTCCTTTTGTTTCAAGTTCAGTGACTAAAATAAAGAAGTTTGTGCTAAATGAACCTCAAGACACTCGGTCACTCTGGTCCGTCACATAACAACTATCTCCACACAGTTTAGAGCCTGCAGGTCAGACTGTATTATGCATTTAAAAGATAACATTGAGCTTACACTCTTTTTCATTTTTGCATGAATTCATTTGAATGCCTTTTGACTTTGTAGATACAGACATGGTGCCATACTGAAGGTTGGCTTATCTCCCAAAGTCTAACTGCACAGCTTCAGACATATCTTAAGGTACCTCATCTCAACTCTTGGCTCTGCCTCACACATCAGAAACTACTTTGGTTATCACAAAGTAGATATGAGGTTTGTAATGCAGATGCTGACATTACACAGGAGAAGGTCAGGGTGACAAGGTCAGAGGCATCCTAAACTCTATATCTACATAAACTGCCATGACTATTACATTGAGACCTTTTATCCCAAAATAACACAAGTTACTTTGGATACAAAGATTCTTAATTCTTACTTAATTGTTTTATTTTGAACTGCCATACTTTTGATGAAAAACACATTTGTTTCTTATTTACTACTACACAACAATGTGTGTTAGAGGAAGATGTGTCTAAGGACTAGGGACGGGTACCGAGCCCCGGCATTAAAGGGGCCCCGGGGCTGAATTATTAAATACAGCGTTTAAGCTCCAACGTTATCTTCTTCTTTTTATCGGTACTGGAGACATTTAAAAAAATGTATGTCATATGTATTATTGCTACATAAACATTATATTGTAGTTTTAGTGTCGGCAACTCCGTTTGTAAAAAAAAAAGACAAAAAAAATGCGTCTCTGATGTATTTTCAATCTTCCCAATCCAGACCAGAGATATCTCCCCCATCTCACACACACACACACACACACACACACACACACACACACACACACACACACACACACACACACACACACACACACACACACACACACACACCACACACACACACACACACACACACACACACACACACACACACACACAACACACACACACACACACACACACACACACACCACACACACACACCACACACACACCACACACACACACACACACACACACACACACACACCACACACACACACACACACACACACACACACACACACACACACACACACACACACACACACACACACACACACACACACACACACACACACACCTGTCTCTCTAGTAGCTCTGTAGATCCATCCACGTAGTAACGTTTCCACGTCAGGTGTTATGTATGCTAGCAGCAACACACGGAGCTAACTCAATGATACAAACATGGGTTAATGATTAGAGGTAACTGAGTTATTTATTTTGTTAAGGTTTCAGCTATTCTGTTTACAGTTCTGTCATCAGATTATTTAATACGATTTGTTTAAAACATTGTTGTTTCTTTTGATGTGAAATATTATTTATTATTTAAATAAAAAGCTATGTATATGTATATTTTGTTTACATTTTGTTTAGTTAGTTTACCTTTTTTTTTCTTTTTCAGAAGAACCGATAAGAGTATTGTTAAAGCCCCGGATCGATAAGCGTATTGATAAAAGTAGTAGAACAGTTCAAACCTTAACAATACCCATCCCTGCTAAGGACCTACTTTTTAAAAAGCTTACAGTGTGCCAGTACATGAGTCATGGTGGACCTAACAATGTAATCAAGCAGACAGTGCTAACTTTCCACACTTTACAGTTTTTGACACCCTCTGATGAACATGTCTGTATCTACAAATTCAAAAGGCATTCAAATGAATTCATGCAAAAATGAAAAAGAGTGTAAGCTCAATGTTATTTTTTAAATGCATTATACAGTCTGACCTGCAGGCTCTAAACTGTGTGGAGATAGTTGTTATGTGACGGACCAGAGTGACCGAGTGTCTTGAGGTTCATTTAGCACAAACTTCTTTATTTTAGTCACTGAACTTGAAACAAAAGGAAACGATCCCTTTACACAGAGAAATACATACCTGTGTATCACTGGGTATTCAAACCTGTCGAGTATAGAGAGAGGATTTATTTTTGAGTTCGAGAACAAAGATTATTTGTAGTCCTGCTCACTTTGCTTTTGTATTTATTCAGAATTAGTTTATCTACAAAGCATTCACTTCAACTCTCAGGTCGAATCTTTCACGGTGCAACATGTTCCGTTGCACCGTGAAAGATGCAGTTCTGTGCACAAGCTGCTCTGGTGATAATCAAGTCACTCACAACACTCCATGCACTTCATTCAGGCCTTCTCTCAAAGTGGTCAGGGTGATAGAGACTTTAATACAAGTGCAGGGGAATCAACTATTCTAACAAAGTCATTCAGGAATTCAAGGAAACAAGCAGGGGTAAACATGTGCTAGGGAAGAAAGAAGAAAAACACCGCAGACAGACACAATAGAGGAGTGCAGTGATCACGTGTTTTTGTAGCATTCACATAAATCTGGTATTTCCCCATTGGATTTTGGCTATTGCAGAAAATAAGCTTTTTGGCCAAAACACGTTTCAGATACTTAACAAGTTTCGTTCAGCAGGATAATCTCCACATATTTACACCACTGTGTGATTTTTGAAGAGTGAATCCTATTGGCAGAAACAAAAAGCTAACGTTAGGCTATAATCTAATTACATCAGGGCAGCAGCTGCTCATCACCACCGGTAAACTCAAAGGGGGAAGGTACTCTTCTTTAGTCACTTGTTAGCAACCAACGTTTTTATGACAAATTGAAGCTTCAGACATTCACTGGTGGAATATTTAATGCCGTATTTTATGTTGGAAAAAGGTGCAAATCACTTTGGCTCATGTGAACAACAAACCTTATTTCACCACAAACACGTTCAAAAAAACGTTGACTTGGAGACGAAGGAACTGGAAGTGGTGAAATGCTAAGTGTTTCCTGGGTTTTAGGCAATTACACATTGCAGAGGACATTTAACAGATCAAAAGGTAACTTTTGAATGAGAGCAAAACGTCTGAAAGAGATCTGGTGCTGCTACTGCAGGGTCTCGCTCGCTGTGGTCAGCACGTTGTTGATGATAGTTAGGAAAAACGTGACTTTGTGAAGTTAGTGTTAATCGCATCATTTTGTGGGATCCTGGTCTTTTTGAGTCTCCATGAAAGGAACTCACTTTCTCTTGTTCCCGCAGTTAAGATCATTTGAATACAAAGATAAGGTGGTACTGATGGTTCAAGGTGCATGTGGCCATTGTCGCCCTCTCCTATAAAGGATGTTAGTTCAGACCGTCTTCACTGCAGCAGCTTACTCCTCACACTCAGAGCAAAGAGGAAGAAGAAGAAGCTTTGGAGCATCCATCAGACATCTCTCTCCGACAGACAGGTAAAAGAAACAAGGGAGAAGCACTAGAAAAAGTTCTTATCCTTTAAGCGAGTGCTGGGTTGTTAGTGTGCTTTAGATACTTACAAGCTGATTCTGAAAGAGAGGATATTCTAGGAAACTGATTAACAATGTGAGTCAGGCAGCAATATGATGTTCACTCTAAAGTAAGTTATTTAACAACACAATAAATCCCATCTTTAAAAAGGTACAGGCTTGCAGCATTCAACACTTCACAACACAGTTACAATTCATTATTGCAAAACCAAAAAGGCTTTTTTCAATATAATTATACATCACATTACGGTCAATGTATGTAACTCATTTCATGTTGTGCCTTACCTGACCCTTAATTCTTCCTTTGAGCCATCAGATATATTACACAGTGATCGTGCTAATTCTAAATAATTCTGCTTGATATTTCTCGTCAGTTAAAAAAAAAGTTTTATGTCAATAGTATGAAAGTAATTTCCGAATAAAGCCATTATTCTGTTTTTGTCTTTTCTGTTGCAGGTATTGTTCAGACTGACAGACAAAAAGGAAGGTGAGAAATGTGTGGCTCTGATCATTATAATTCATTATTGATTCATCTCTAAATAAATAATGTTTAATGTTGTTAGCTGTTTCTGTGGATTTATGATTGTTAATAATTAAGGCTCAGATAGAAGTGAAGTGCATTGTTACAGCAAGCAGCAGACAGGCTCGGTGTTATCACTAACCCAACTGACTGAGCCCAAGATCTTTATCTGTTGCAGGTAAACAACGCCAAGACAAAAAGAGGGCTGAACAACATTTAAAAGTTAAAGTCCTAGTTGCATAAAACCACTGTTTTAACAACACTTCAGTTTATTTATCTTAACATCCACGACAGAAGCATTGAGCAGGAGCTATAGAGTTAAGTGTGATTTTTATTCAATGTTGTATATATTTTTTAGTATTAAGGATAATAATTAAGAGACAGATGTGTTTCTTTTTCACTTGTCCTCTCTCATGTTTGAAACTCTGTCAATGACTTGATGTGTGTGCAGATGGCTGGCCTGTGTTGGATATCTGTGCTGCTGGCAGTCAGTCTGTCTATTGGAGACTGTGAGCCGTTGGATATCGGTTACGTAAAGAGAATTGATGCACGCATCCATGAGATGTGAGTCAATTTTATTCTAATAGTACCATAGTATTGATGTACTTCATTGATGGAGGTATTGGATATAGTTCACAAAAGTCTTTCAAATGAACACTGAACATTGTTTAAAAATAGCATTACATGTATTGATGGGATATTGAATATCTGGCCACGTTTTTGCTGCACGTTAAAGAAGCAGTAAAAGAATGACCCTGATCTAAGAGTAGTTTCTAAATGTAGATGGAGAAAAGTGTTTCCTCAACAAACAGGATTCAGTCTGATTATATTCACACAGTCACTGCATCCAGAGGAATAATCAAAATCATTGTTATGATTTTGACCTTTAGTCTAGCATCACCTTTATGATGATTTGTGATTTTATAAGTGAAATGTCTCGACTTCCTGTTACACTAAGGACTTTTTCAACAGCCTCAGTTTTAGTTCATGTTAGTGCTCATTAGTCAATCTTATATTGCTATCACAATAAAACATTACCATTAACAGCAATGTTTAGCTCGAAACAAGGCTGCCAGACTAGCTCTCCACTGTTCGAAGCGCACTCATATTGGAGTTATGCATAGAAATCTATCATGGCTTCCGGTTGAGAAACGTCTGCAATCTCGTGTTATCACTTTTCTCAGAAATGTCCGATTTGGTAAAAAGACACTATTTTTATGATCGAATAGTTTACACAAGAAACGAGCATAAGACTAGACAAGCTACATCAGGCCATCTGCTGGCACCTAACCCCAGGACCAATCTTCTGACATCTTCTGTGACTTACAGAGCTATAATGGAACTCATTGCCAAACTACCTTGCTGACATAGAGAGTCTCTTTCAAGAAGAGATTGAAGAGCCATCTACTAATGAGCATGTACCCCTTGTGAACTGTGAACCCTCATTTCATGCTTTGTACTGGTGGGTGTCTTGTGCACTCATCCTTGGCTGAGTTTGAAAGTGGATGAGATTGTTGATGATGTTGGAGATGGTTGATGATGTCAGGACTTGAATGTTGTTGTGTTGAGTATTGTTGTATTGTTTTAAGTGTCGGACCCCAGGAAGAGTAGCTTTTCTCAAGAGCAAAAGCTAATGGGGATCCTAAATAAACATTAAGCCCATTAATGGTAGCATTTCTCTGAAATGATTGCAGTGTGTAAGAACAATCTCAAAGAGCCGGGAGCATGGCTGTAGACTCTTTGTGTTGTTTTGGTTCTCTGACATTTCAATAAAGTCTCCACTATCTTTAGTTTTACATCTGTTTGGCTGGTTAAGATCTTAAGTGAAAATCACTAAATCAAATGTGCATCAGTAACGTTGTCTGATCTGAAAGTAATGTCACCTGGTTTCACACCAGTACTCATTGATTACCTAAATATCAAATGGACTATCAGGAAGATGTTCTTTTACTAAGGTGTTTTGTGTAAGACAGCAGAACAATGTGACCTTAGAAAAGAAGGAGGGATCAAAAATGTTCGAGAAACACATGAGCACATACATTTAAAAAAACTCATTCAAATGTTGCAGCATGTATACTTACCATTGTGTATGAATACTTGTACTCTGACAAAAGGTAATACTGTGTGTCTGTTTTCTTTGACAGCTACAAATACGGAGGGAAGCAGTATAGTGTGGCAGTAAACATCCCAGAGGACCCACAGACAACTAAGGAGTTGAAAGGGCTTATTTTACCTGTCGATTGGGTCGATGCGAACACATTTCTTGAAGCAGGCCAGGTGTACAAAGGCAACAATGCTGTTGTGGCAATTCCTCAGGGCGAAGAACCCTACACTGAGCATGCAGAGAAACAGGTACTAGACAATTTAGGAGAGTTAGCTAACATACGTGAGGGTTACATTCTGGTCCTCTACTCCTGGCTTTCTCCATGTGGCCAGTGTACAGAGGAAGGAGGTAACTTCAATATCTTAAATAAGATCGAAGAGCTAAAAAACAGAGGGAAAAGCTTTGCCCTTGTGTTTAATACAGTATATGCTTGGAAAGAGGACAACAACGGCAAAAAGAAGGACATTCCTGAAGCTGACATTAAAAATACATTTCATAGTCTTAGACAAGTAATAGTTGACGACAACATTTTCCGTTGTTACAAGCCAAATAATAGAGTATTCCAATGTTTCAAGTGCTTCGTAGATGCTTCACCAGAAGCTGATCCTGTGGATGAGTGTGTTAAAATTCAGGAATAAATGTGTGTAGGCCAAAAGAAGAGCTGACCTAGGCATTGACACAACTGGATCCTACTAACATGTTACTTTGAAAAGTTCATTAATGCTCAACAATGCACTTGCTGCTTTAAATGGCTAGATGTTACACTGGCACGCTAAAGACCCAAACACACTTATCTTTGGTCACAAACTAATCAGCAGAGCTTTCATCCATTTTTTGCAACATAACTCTGAGGTTTATTTAATGTTTAGCATAAGATTGACTTATTTTGGTGTTGTTCTATGTTCATGTTGTGATTTATCTCCTGTGCTTACTGCAGTTTGACTCAGTGTTGGTTTGAGAGGCTTTTTTTGTTCTATCCAAATAACAGAACAAAAAAAAGCCAACATAATTACAGTGCACTGAGATTTAGAGTTTTAACAGACACACAATAAATGAATGGCTGTATCAAATGTAAATGTTGTGCTTATGTAACGGCCTTCATTCTTTAAACATAATTTGTAAACAATTTAACAAATGATGGAGGGACGTTTGATATTTGGTGCATGTTGAAAAAGTGTTCAAAACATATTCTACCCTATTTCAAAAAGCCAAAGAAATGTTTTTAAATGATATTGTTTATTGTATATCAACCTCAGTTATAGGGTTTAAGTGATTGTACTCAATACTCGTGTTAAACTTTACCAAATGATTTCTGCTTTTTCTGATTAAAGCTTTGCTAAGCATTCTCACTCTGTGTGTCAATCATCTGGAAACTCATAACAAAACTGTTATTTGATCAACTGAGCTATGTAAGTTTAACATGAACTAATAATACTACTGTATAGCTTATGCTCACGTCTGATGGGAGGTATGCTATAATACTCACGTCTGATGGGAGGTATGCTATAATACTCACGTCTGATGGGAGGTATGCTATAAGAGCGCTACAAAAGAAGAAATGGATGTAGGGATGAACTCCAAGAGAAGGAGCCTCTCAAGTATTACAGTACCTCCAGCATGTTGCCGTGCCTTCAGCCTCGATGTTCAAAGTGTTTCAGAAACCACATGGCTTGTGCCATAACCCTGTACATACAGTGTTAAGACTGACTGTATACTTTCCTGTTGTCTTGTAATGGTGATCTCAGCACTGACTTTATTTAAGAGAAAAGCTTCTTGAACAGAGAAACAGTAGTTTGAAAAAAAACAGATCTTAACTCAAAAAGATCATGAGATGCAGTTGGGTATAAACAAAATAGTTACAAAAACCCATACCATGTGACGCTTATTGTAAAGTAAGTAACACTAAACACTTTTCTGATATTCACTGGATAAATATATTAATCGATAAAAGCTGTTCTTTAACAATAAAATCAAGAAAGGTTTCTGGTAATGTTGGTTAATATTTATAATGCCATGTTTCTGCTGTCATGTTTTGGAACCTACTGAACTTTGAGCTAAATGTTTTGTCATTTATTTGTCTTTCTTCAGAAGTGTCACATGCACTGTTACTTGGTAGATCACAATAACTGAAAACCACTTCTATTTGTATCTTTCTCATTTGTGAGAAAATGCAGAAGTAGACAAATGAAGCTCAGCGCAAGTTCAACCAGGAAGACCGTCTTTACTCATTCATTCACTATTTCTATGTTACTACTCTCTCTCCTCTCAATACGTGATCGGGGGCGTCATTCCCCAGCTTAACCAATCACTTCGCTCTATTCTCACAAGCCTATCATAGCGCTCCGCTAAACCTTTTAAATCTGCTCTCCCCCCTCTGACAGCTGTCATTTCAGGTGACTCGACGCAACTCTCCTCCACCCCTTTTCACCTCCTGTCCCTCTGAATCCAGGGTCAAGCTAAGCCACTCCCCTTCAGACCGACCCCAACTATCCATTCACCACCACCAGGGTCAAGCTAAGCCACTCCCCTTCAGACCGACCCCAACTATCCATTCACCACCACCAGGGTCAAGCTAAGCCACTCCCCTTCAGACCGACCCCAACTATCCATTCACCACCACCAGGGTCAAGCTAAGCCACTCCCCTTCAGACCGACCCCAACTATCCATTCACCACCACCAGGGTCAAGCTAAGCCACTCCCCTTCAGACCGAACCAACTATCCATTCACGACCACCAGTGTCTAGCCCCCGGGGGGTTTCATCTTATCGGTTCTCCCCTCCCGAATGATACTCCTGCACAACGGGGCCTAATCGCCAAAACTCCATTACATTCATTTGTGTATTCCTGGCAATAAATATGTATTCTTCTTACATCAAAACCGTCTCTCCTGATTGAAATAAGGTTAAGATGCCGCTATGTTGACGGCATCACCCTTCTCTATAGAAATGTTCCTTCCCTCTGACTGTATTCATTGCAGCAACACCCTGTCACCTTGAACAGCAGAAGCTCCATCAAACATTTCTCCAACAAAGGTAAAACATATATGATAAATAAAACATCGAAGTTTGTGTGAAATGGAATTTGTCTACGAGATGTAGTTTGAAATATATTTTTAAATGTGTATATGGTGGCATAAAGAATATTTATTCTTAAATTGTTGAAAATGCTAACTATCTGGTGACATATCTGCATATTATATGAAGTGTGTGTGTGGCTCGGGGGCCAGTAGAAACATACTGTAATGTGGGCTGTGGAGGAACTACTAGCCAATAGATACGTCTTCATGGTTTAAGACAGAAATTAGCAACCAGTGTTTCAACAGCACTTAAATAAATATATTTTCATGTGATTATTTCAAAGCTTACATCCCAGAATTAAACATTTTCATAACATGTGCAAAATTGTAAAGGTTTTTTATAAAATGAAAGGTTGTGTATATATTTTTTTAAAGTGTAAAGAATACAAATTACAGGAAATATATATTTGTTTCTAATTTGTTTTGTGTGCAGATGGCTGGCCATTATGGTCAATGTATGTAAATAATATGTGAAAAGAGTACTTTTGGTACTTTAAGTATATTTTGATGCCAATAATATTCTATCTTTAGTCGAGTAACATTTTGAATACAGGGATTTTAATTGTAACAGAGTATTCCTGAACTGTGGTATTTCTACTTTTACTTAAGTACAAGATCTGAGTGCTTCTTCCAGCTCTGCAGTTCAAGCCTTAAAACTCAATTGTCACGGGAGTAGCGACACTGGGCCAAAGGACCACCAAGCGGAGACTTCATCTCAAAAGGGGGAACACAGAAGTTGTTAAAAACATTTGTTTACATTACTGAGAGTGAAATGTAGTGTAACTCTAGATTAAATGAAACAAAATCAAACGGGGTGGAAACCAGGAGACAGAGACTGACTGATGGCCACCAGCTTACAGTATACTGTACGTATGTATGTAAAGGTCAGCTGATCTGAGGCCTGTTCAGAGAAGGCTGTCACAAATGTCTCAGATGATTCAGCAGAATGTCTCTCTTAAAACGTTGTCAAATAAGAGCATGTGTCACTCAAAGGGTTTGGCAATGGTTCCCCGTTTCTCTATAAAAACTAATGTTACGATGAATAGAAAGCACTTATAAAGGAAGGTGGTAATATCATCATATCATGGCTCCCTGACATAAAGAGAAGTGCAAAGAATATGTCTGGATCTGTTATTTGTGTATAAACACAGAAACTGCAAATGAAAACATGCAGGTACCTCGGCTATGAAAATGGGTTTCTAATTAAAAAAATAAAACATGAAGCCGGAGCGCTGATCCAGATAATTTCCTTTTATTTAGGAGTAAGGTACGGCTTTTATCAACGTTAATACGATACGATAAGACTTCATTGTCATGTCAAGTCTGACATTTTTCTTTTTCTTGCAACTTGTTCAAGAGCCTCTAACATATTTGACCTGGGATTTAACTCAAGGAGTGCTTCAGTCTAACTTTATTAAATATTAACTTACTCTAAACACACTGCAAGAGAATACTAAACAAAGCTGTTCTGGTAGTTGCTACTGTATTACATTTTAAACAATACACCCTTTCGTCTCAGTATGCCTATAGCAAACTTAAAACCTGCAGAAATATAGCAACTGCTTTCAGTATTCGATAAGCAGAGATTCAGCTCAGTTTTACAAAAAAAAATTGAGATATTGCCAAACTCCGACCAGATTACCCCAAAGACAAAGTTAAGAAATCCATGCATTCATTTATTTGTTTGTTTAAGGGTAACATAATTGGAAATGAACTTAAAATACACTTGAGAGCAGGGGTGCCCACACTTTTTCAGCTACTTTTAAAATGACCACGCCCAAATGATCTACCTACAGGACTGCCCCTGCCCAATGTGTGTCGCGAGCGCGCAGGGGGGGGTGGGGTGCTAATGGACTAAACGGCGAATAAACTGTGGCGCGCTTACAATAATTGCGCCGCATAAGCGCATAATAGTGCGCCGCATTTGCGCTTCAGGGGCCTAATTTATAAAGGGATATACACTCAAAAAATGGCGTGCGCCAGTTTCTACGCAATGTTTGCGATTTATAAAATACTAACTTGACGGGAAAATGTGCTGTCCTCCACGCAAACTCTAACCCATGCGTACGCACTAAGCACACACACGGGAGAGACGAGAAACTGCGACACCGTTGGCAGAAGGAAGAATGGAGAGAAATATGTGGAAATAATACCATAAATAAAATGTTACCTCTCATTTATCAAATATGAAGAATTCATTTTCAAACATTGATTAAAGCCAATCTTAAAATGATTAAACAAACGCCTGTTTGAGACTCCTCAGTGCACACAAAAACATAACTTGGAGAAATAAATAAATACAGATATGCTATTTAAAACCACCTCGAATATGTTGTGTTAATGTTATGAAATGTTTTCTCATAAATGATGCGGTAAGCAGGAGGACAGAATTACGTCTAAACTGACGCCGTTTTGCATTTCTATAGGTTGTAGATACGAGCATGGTTTTATATACTATCACGTTTAATCGTGTTTTATGCCGTTTGCCAAGACTTGATAAGTCGCTCGTAAAACACAGGAGGTATGGAAACTAAGAACACCATATGTGGTAAATTGTACAGCTGATATAACACAACACATTAGTTGTATTTCCTTTAACTGGTGGATTATGGATATATAGTTGCTGATCGACAGCTGGAACACAAACCACCAAATACAACAAAATAATTCAGATCCAGTCGTCATGACTCCACTCCGGAGGGATTCCCCGATCATTTCTTACAGTTTCTCATCAAGGGGGTGTCTCCTGTCCCCGGGACAAACACACTGCCTGAGGAAGGTTATGTGTATTTTTTTTGTCATTAACTTTTTTCGGACCACTTATTATTTATTTTGGTGACGATCCGACCTCCATGCTGCTACTCTGGTTCAAACTGCATCCACCAAACAATATGATTTATCTCGACCTCCCCACAATAACCAAAATCTGACACGGTGTGAGATGTCTTTTTTAGCTGTTCTGTCGTAATTTCCTGCGATCTTCTTCATGCAGTCAGTCAAAAATGAATGAATGAATGGACGTTTCTTTGACTATTTATAGGCAAATATGGGCGTTACGTGAAGCCTGCAAAAGCTGCGCCGCATTTCGAGTTGATTGTGATTTATAAAGGGAAACAGGCGTAGGAAGTGCAGTACGCACTTCCCTCGCCGGTACGCAATGTTTTGTGAATCGGAAAATGTCGGAACATTTCTGTACCTATTTTTGTGCTTTGTACTACGTAAGCAACCTTCTCACGTCAATCCTACGCAAGGCGTTATAAATGAGGCCCC